CACAACCGCGGGGGACCCCAGCCGGCAGGGTCCCCTGGCTGCTTCACCCACGTCTGGCTAAGTGCAGTCATGTCACCCCAGACCCTTCCCCAGCACCTTGGGGACCCCCAGGTGTGGCCGGGTCCCAGGGGCATCACCAGCCCCCCCACCCCCCCAGGGTACCCCGCGGCTGGCAGCCTGCAGCCCCCACCTTCAGCTCTGGGGAGAAGGAGAAGAGGAAGGTCTCCCCTGTCCCGTAGAAGCTATTGCTGCAGCGAATGGTGCTGGCACAGAAGGCACCAAAGGCCTGGGGGGAACAGAGCGGGGGAGTCCCATGCCGCAGCGCTTGATGGGGCTCCCCAACGCTGGAAGGCACCCCCCATCCTGCTGGCAGCAGCGAGGATGTGGCCAGGCCCCGGGTGATGCCAGGTTCGCTGCCCCCAGCACCATGGGGCAGCTGGGCTGGGGAAGGTCCGGCCATACCTGTGCCTCTGTGTCCCTGATGAGCAGCAGGGCAGGGCAGCCCGGCTGGCCTCCGCACCGGTACAGGGTCCGCAGGCTGAAGCCATCCCGCCCGGTGCAGTACAGCAGGCGCCAGGGCTGCTGCGTCAGCCGGGGGGGCAGGTGGGGGCCCAACTGGGGCAGAGTGGGCTCAGCCGGGGCTGGCAGCTGCTTCTGAGCAGCCTCCCCACCCCACCCCACCCCAGCATTCTCCCAAGACGTCTACCCAGACATCCTCCCTCCAAGCATTCTTCCGAGAGGTCTCCCCAGGCACCCTCCCCTCCTCCAACTATCCTCTCAAGAGACCTCCTCCCCCCCCCGAGCACCCTCCCGAAAGGTGTCCCCAAGCATCCTCCCCCTAAGCATGCTCCCAAGGGGGTCTCCTCAAGCTCTCGGCCCATGCAGCAGCCTCCCAGGATGCTTCCCCCAAGCATCCTCACCCTGAGAGCCCTTCTGAGATGTATCCCTGAGCATCCCCCCCCTGCCCCCAGCACTTCTGGGGTGGCTGTCCCCAGGGACAGGGGGATGTCACCTCTCTGGCCTCGCACTGGACCAGTTCCTGGCAGGACAGTGGCCATAGCTGCGTGGCGCAGGAGAGGTGAGCATGAAGGTGGGATCCCCATGCTGGCAGGAGGGTCTCTCACCTCCTGGAACTCCTCGTTCCGCAGGATGCTGCTTGGTGTGCTCAGCACCAGCCTGCACAGCTGCTCCAGGGCTGGGGCTGCTGCTGGGGCTCTCTCCCAGCCCGGCTGCCCCTCTCCAACTGGCTCCCCACATCCCACGGGCTGCTCCTCGTCCTGGTCGGGCTGGGGGCAGGTGGAGGTAAGTATCTCTGCGGGTCCTGAGGGAACAGCATCCCCGAACCCGCCCTGCATGGGGTGTCTTCCATCCTGTGTCCAGGGGCTGAGCGAAGGGGCCCAAAGGCCGCAGGGATGGGCACTTGGCTGAGCCTGCAGCTCAGCTCCCAGCTGCCTGCTGCTCCTGACAGCCCTGCTGTGCTATGTCGTACCATGCCGTGCCATGCTGTGCCCTGGCACCCTGCCAGGCCATGACACTACTGCACACGGAAGTTCAAGGTTGTGGGGCTGCCCGAGGAGGAGGAGGAAGAAGAGGCGGGGAGGCTTCCACAACTTCAGCCCAACCTCAGCTCTAGCAGAAAAGGTGAAGCCCAACTGCTCCCCTCCTTGCCCACGGCCGGGCTGGCCCACAGCACGCGTGGGGTCAGGGATGTGCCTTGGTCCTGTGGCAGCTGGTGACAAGTGTCTCAGCTGGCCATGTGCTCAGGGTGGCTGTGGGTGCAGCGCCTGCCCGAGGGCGAGTGGGCAGCGGTTCCCTGCTGCTGGTGGGGGGGGCAGGCAGGAAACACCCTGAGGGGACAAGAGGGATGAGCAAAGGCAGTCCCAGGTGGCAGGACATCTCCTGCCCCCAGGGTGGGGGGGTGGGCGGGGAAGGGCAGCAGGGCTAAACAGGCAGGTCCCAAGCACGTCCATCACCCTCCGCACCTCCCTGGCCCCTTGCTTGCCCCAGGGCAGGCCCTGTCTGCCTGGCCATGCGTCCAGCCTGGCTGGTGTCTCCCGATGCTGCCCCGGAGCTCATTCCCAGCACCCACACTGCCATGTGGGACCCCGCCACACTGGACCTACCAGGAGGTGGTAGCGGGCACGGAGTCCCCTCATCATGGGCATGTGGATGCTGCCGGGGTGCTCTGAGCCACACTGCCAGGGAGCCCTCGACACCGCCCCGTGTTAATGTTCACCTGCACTGGCCCCTCCCTGGCCACCCAGCACGTGACACGGTGGGTGGGGATGCTGACAGCCTCTCCTGGTTCATGGGGGTCCAAGATGTGCCCCCCCTGCAAAGCCAGGTCTTGCAAGGTGCTGGGACGGGTGGGCAGGTGTCCCCCTCCAGCCAGGCGCTGTGTGGCCAGTGGTCATCACCTCCTTTGCACCCCAGCCACCGCCTGGGCCAGGCTCTGGATTGCCAAGCAGGGAGCCCCGAGGCCGTGGGGGAGCCCTTGTTTTGGGATCAACTGGCAGGTCGTGCCTGTGTTGCTCTTTACAACACGACTGTTGCAATGGTTGTAGTAACTGCCAACACCTGCCTGGAGGATGTGGTAACATGTGCCCCTCGCTCTGGGAGAGACAGCCTGGGTTGATGACCTACAGTCAGGTGAGCCAGGGCCCCCGGGAGAGCTGGGGCTTGGTGGGGCTTGGCGGCTGCAGGAGGAGTAAACCCCTGGCTGAGGCATCCTCCTGTCTCAGGCACCACTGGAGAAGCTCCTGCAAACCAGGGAGGGCTGTGCTGTTCCAGTGTGTCCCCGTCCCACTGGTGCCTCCCTCCCCAAAGCAGCCTGCATGGCCATGAGCCATAAACGTCCCATTTATGCCAATACAGGAGTTTCTGCATGCCCGGCATGGTGGCATGATGGCTGCAGTGGCCTGTCCCAGGCCCTGGCCCCACTGCAGGCATTTTTGGGGTTGCTCCTTGCCTCCATGGCAGGGCCCGTTGCAGCCCCATCGGTCCTGGCTACCCTGGTGGGTGGGTCCCAGCTCCACTGTCCCCACCAGGCTTTGATGGCAGCAGTGGTCCAAGGATGGCAGCAGGAGGTTGGGGGTTCCTGGTGCCTGGCACAGCTGACACTTGGCCACTGGCAGAGCCCTGGGTGGGCCAGGAGGTCCCGGTGGCCCCAAAAGCCTCCCCTGGGACCCACCCCCTGCTCAGGAGCCAGGACGGGGAACCCAGTCCCTGTCTGAACTGCCATAGGACAGCCATCCCTGCCCCTGTCCCTATCCCTACTTCTCCCCCTGCCCAGTTCCTGTCCCTGACCTTGCCCTTGACACTGTCCTGCCCCTGCACTTGCTTCTGCCCCATCCCTGCCCCTGCCTCAATATCTCTCCCTGCCCCTGCCCTTTCCATACCCCTACCCATGCCAGTGCTTCTGTCCCTGTCCTTTACCCAGCCCCTGCCCCTGCACCTGCCTTGCCCTTGACCCTGCTCCTGCCCCACCCTTTCTGTACCCCTGCCCCTGATTCTGCCCCTGCCCATCCTGCCCTTGACACTGCACTATCCCTGCACTGCCCCTGCCCTTGCTCATGCCCCTTCCCTGTTCCTGTCCCTGCCTCTGCCCTTGCCCTTTCCCTGCCCTTGCTCCTGCCCATTGCCCCTTGCCCCTTCCCCTGCACTATCCTTGTCTCTGCCCCGGCCCTCTTGTGCCCCTGCCTCATCCCCTGCCTCGGCTCCTGCCCTTGCCCCTGCCCCTGTTCATGCCAGTGCCCATGCCCCTGCCCCATGCTCTTCCTCTGCCCCCAGTGCTCACACCGTTACCTCTTCTCAGGACCACTTCTGAGTCCAACTTTGGGCCCTGCTCCCCTGGGAGACCCAGCTGGAGCCAGCCTGGGGGGGGGCTGCTGGGTGGCCAGGGGTGGGGCCCTGGGCACAGTCACAGGAACAAATTCAGCTGCTGGAAACAGAACGGCGCTGCTGCCCACGGCCCCTCGGCTCAGTTCTGCCGCCTCCCGTCAGCATCGTCTCCCTCCTGATGGGCGAATTATTTTCTGCTTTGTGGGAAGAGGAGGGGTTGTAAAATGGATAGCCCCCAGATAGCCCCAGCTGTTTACCCTCTTATTTTCTTTTACACTGCTGGCGGGTTGAACTGTGCATAGCTGGCTTTTCCTAAAATTGGGAGTGGGTTTCAGTGTGCCCCAGGAGCGTCTGTTTGCTTTTTGGTGTGCCCCAGGGCCACTTGTTTTCCCTCCTGACCCCTGTGTTTGCTTTCAAGTCCCCTCACAACCCCTCCATGTGCCTCTCGGTGCCTCCCAGCCCCCACTCACCCTCCAGTGTCACACCCCCATCCCCCCCCCCAACATATTGTACACAAGAGGTGTTTAAAACTTGCACAGTTTATTATGCTCCTTGAAATGCCACACAGCCGGCAGCCCAGAGCAGCCCTGCCTCCATGTGCCTCTGCTGCGGCCCGAGCCGCAGGGCTGCTGGACGGCCCGCCCCGGCCGGAGCAGCTGAGCACAGGGGGCTGAGCTGGGCTCGGATTAACACCCCCCCACCAAAGCGCTAATAGCAGTGCAGTAAGGCAAAAGTTTTAATTGTCCAGAAAGAAAGAAAAGCTGTTGACAACCGCCTGGGCACGTTGGTCTCTCAGTTGCTCTGTACCAGGTGCAGTTTGGTTTCGATGTTGTCACATTCCCAGCCCTTTGGATTTTTCTTGGGATCAGTTGGGGCTGCCTGCTGCCCCAACACCAGTGAGAAGGCTTTCACACTGCAGTTACTGCTTCTCAGTGCCACCGCGCAACCAGCAGAGCAAGAAGCCAGCCTGGTGGATTTGCCCCAGTGGGTCACGTTCACCAGGTCAGCAGCGGCAGCAGCTCTGAAGTGAGCAGGTCTGAACACAGACAGAGGGGAACCATGGGGGAACCGAGGGGTAGTGCTTTAACGGAGTCCGCTGTGCACAGCCACAAGATACCATCACTGTACTTGCAAGGGGGTAACATGGGGAAGTGCATATCCCGTAGTGTTAAGCAACTGTGGAACACCTGGAGCCCAACAACTCAACAACAGCGGTGGCTGAGGCTCCTTCTGGATTTGGTCTGGGGCCTTAAAGGGGAGATTTTGACAGCTCCTGGTCCCTAGCCCAGGCAGGCAGCTTGCTTGTTCCATGTCCAGGCTGCTGCCCCAAGCGATCACAACGGTATAGTGTGAGCCCTGCACTGCCAAGCTTTGTTACCCTACAGAAACAAGGAGTAGCGGGAGTCTATCTATCTCCACAGTAGTCTTCCTTCTTCTGAGACCCTGTAATGCCTCTGTGCAGCTCCTGACATGAAAATGTCTGTGTTGCTTCAACGGGATAGAACAGTTAGTTACCCAGTACCCACCCTGCTCCTGCTTTCACCCCAATTCCAGTTCTTACTAGTGTTTGAGCGCCAGGGTTATTACCTGTGGCAGCAGCTTCAGCTGTCCTCCTTCCAACAGGTCATTCATTTTGGTCACCGATTTGTTTCACAAGCACCCACTGTGCCTGAGCACATGTGATTTTTCCAGATCCCGCAACAGTAGGAGAAACAAGAAATGGCATCTGCAGCCAGGGCTTAGGCACCAGGTACCCACAGATTGCCTTGTGCCAAGCGGGAGCATTACTGGTCAAAGCAGCGAAGGGGAAATTTCCAGGAGAAGCAAACATCTCCAAGAAGCAGTGATAGTAAAGTAAACAGTTTATGGTCTGAGCTCTTTCTGGGACACAGATTCAGCCCTGGTTTTAGCTCAGACACTTTCTCCAGTTCCTGCTGGACTGCCCCAGAGTTGATGGCTGAGGTCGCAGTGAAAAGCACAGCTCAGGGAAGAAGGGAGATGCTCCAACGGAGGCACTGCAGCTCCTACTTGTAGTTCTTACAGTCTCTGCACTGAGCCCACAGCTCAGGAGGGTATTCCCAGAACCTCAGCCCTTTCTTTCAGTAGGTATCATTCCCAAAGTCAGAACTCATTCGGGGAACCTTGCCCACCCACCCCACATACCCCAAGCTTTGCATGTTCCTTAGAGTGGTCCATGTCCCAGGGAATGGTGGGCACAATCCTTATTTCAAAACAAGCATGGCCTCTGTCCCATCTTGCCTTGTCAAATGGAGTCCATGAGTGAGGTAGTACTCCCGCCGAAGGAAGGCATAGAAATAATCCGAGATGAGCAGGATCTGCAGAAGTGAGATGTTCAGACACATCAGTGGTGCTTCAGAACAAGGAATAAACAGGGACATGTGTTTGTGACAGACCTTGAAGGGGTTTAAGAAGTTCTTAGACTGTTCATCACGCTTTGCGAGAGGACACACCGGGATCCTGTGAACACTCCTTGTCCATTGCCTTGCAATATTAAGCCAAGGGAGACTTAAACTAATATCTGTTGCACTACTAGTGTGTTCTCACAGACATCTCTGCTAAGGAGACAGTAGCTCCATAAACTGACCAAAATATATGACAATGGCAGGTCCATCTGTGCCACAGCTTTACAGACCATCTCAGCCTCACCCACAGGACTCCTTCCATGCAAGCACTGTCATGCAGTTCAACCCAAATGCTGAAAGTCTCCTGCTGCTGATTGCTATTAAATACTTCTTAATTGTGATTGTTTTTCAACAGCCATTTCTACTCAGAAAGGGTAAGAAGCTTGCAGGCAGCAGAAGGAATACCACAGCTCCTCAGGTCAGCCTTAGCAAACAGAAGCTTTAGCAGTTTAACAAAATGATACTTACCAGGCTAAGGGGTGAAGAGAAGTGCTGAAATGTCAAGGCTGTGGCTTCACAGTACAACGTCCAGGAGCAACACCAGATAAAAGCACTGCTTCCACCCCCATCACTTCTGCATCTCCTTCCTGCCCCTGTGCTGTCATGCCCTCTCTGTGGGGCAGCCAACCCTGTGTATACATTTGCACACTGTCTCCCTTTAAGTGGTGAACAGAGCTGGCTATCCCCCAGGTTTTCCCCTGATCCAGGTCAGAGCATGCTGCCAGACACATGGACGTTGGCACCGTCCTGTGTTGCTCGGGAGATGGGCGTACCTTAGGCTGGTATTGCCACTGGCCATGTTGTAGTGTGAAATCACAACTGAAGTGCATTGCAGAGAACCGCAGTGAACGTGGAAACCTGATGTGGAAATCACAAGGTCCCTCCCCTCCTCAGCCCCACTTTGGTTGTACTGAGGCACCATGGTGTGACTGCTCCCTTGCCTAAAAGCACTGAGAATGCAAGAGTGGGTCTCAGCAGTTTTTCTAAAGCAGTCACCTTGGGCAAGCTGCCTCTGCAGGGGCAGGCTGGGCTGCTGTAAGCGCAGGCAGTGACCTGCTGGCTCAGTAGTGCCATTTGTCATTTAGCCTCTTGTAGTGCGACCCTTCCCCAGGAATGCTGACCTCCTCCGTCTGGAAACAGCATCACATAACTGGAGTGGAAAACCTTTTCGGTGCCAGACCAAGCTAGTAGTTATTGTCCTAATGTCCAGATGCCGCTTAATGCATCACTTCTTACTTTGGGACAGTGCGTTCATCCATTTCCCTGGGGAATTCACTCCAGGGAGACCCTCACCTGAAGTATGCTGCAGTGCTAAGGGGACGGAGGGAGGGACAGTCAGGCTGTTAGCCAGAGCCTGCTTGGGTTACTGTTAAATACAGCTGCGGGGAAGGCTCAGTGGCAGGACGGGAGGATATGGAGGACCAGGGAAAGAGAAACAGGGCTGCAGACTGCTGAGGTCAGAGGAGAAAGTGCGAAGGAGAACAGACAGAGAAGGGTTGAGGTGCCCAGAGAGAGTGAAAACAGCCATGCTTATTCTGTCCGCTTCTTTTGCTGAACACCATGGCTGACTACTGACATGCTATATCAATATGGTTGATTTTACTTTTCACTAAACTTCTGTGCAGATGTCTTAATGGGAAAAGAAAGAGCTGAGGTTAGTGGGGATGAGGGCTAGTTCTTTCTCACAAGGAAATCAGAAAGCAGATTTTTGCTCTGCATTTACACAGAGCACAAGACCTTGCAGGATCTGCTATGGCTTTCTCAGGTAGGAAATAAAAATTCTCTTAGAATATCAAACCTGCCATCTCTAAAGTTTTACTATTCCTTTCATTCCATAGCAAGACATGTAGTTAGAGAGCTAATGACCCACTCCCAATTTCCTACAAGTCCTTCTTAGTAGTATCTCTGTACTCTTCCTCACCCCGCTCACTGCATGGAGTCTCTTTTTGCTTTTACAGAATGGGTGTTTGTCCCCATTTATCAAGGGGGTGGGGGATGTACAAGCAGGTGATTTTCAGCCCCTGGCAAAACCACTCCTCTAGTTTTAGGAGAAGCAGACAAACATAAATGGCTGAGGCACATTCAAAATAAAGGCAACTTTAACATGAAATGAACATTCTGCTCACCCACATGTGAAACTGTCCCAGGGCTTAGGGACATAAGAAATAGCACAGAGAAGAGGAAGGACTTAGAAAAGGTTGTAGCAACTGTGTACATTGAACCCCATCCTCCAGGGGTGCTAAGCTCTGTTTCCCCTAAGGCTAGTGAAAGTCATGTATCTAGAATGGCCTTGAGAGAAGCAGGGAGAGCAAGCCCTGGCACGACTGGGACCCTGCATGTGCCCACAACCTTACGTTTCAGTGAGGTACAACGCTCAGAAAAATTGGTGCCATGTCCCCGTGTATGGGCAGTTCTCATTTGCCTGTTGTCTGGCCCCACTGCTGCTGCCCCATGGGTTTTTCTATTTCCCCTCTTAGCTCCCCTTCTTCATTCACTTGTGCTCTTAGTCCTGCCCTACTGAGATGCTTTTCCCCTGCTATCAAGCAACAGACCATGTAACTTGCAGTGCAGTCTAGTTGGATTGTTAAGCTGTAGCTCAAATACTACAAGAGCTCCTTCCCATTAGTGTGCCAGAAGGTGAGGACTAGGCAGATTTCAGCTGGAGCAAGGAGAGGCAGGAAGCTGCTATGCAGGACTACACAGGATGCAAAGAGCTAGACACATCCTGCAGAATTCACTGTTGCTGACAGGACACCCGATCCAGCGACCTACCCAACGTGCAGCCTTGTTTGCCTCGCTCTACTAACCTGCCCTATGTTGAAAGTCAACGTGATGGCATAATAAAAATTGGAGTTGGCACTTCCTGCATAAATCCATAGATGCCATAGAACGGGGAACAGGAGGGAGCAGACAATGAGCACACATGACAGGATGAAGATGTTCCGGAGGACTGCAAAAGAAAACCAAGCTGTTAAAATGATGCATTATTGAGCAGCCATGCTCACGCAACCAGCAATGGTATTTAGGGTATGTGCAGTGGGGGAGAGGCACTTGCCAACACATACTTCTCTCCAATAATCTTTCACAGTTTGCTTTAATAATTTCCTGGCTAGCTTTTATAAGAAATCCACTATATTTCCCTTTAAAACAAATACTTCTGCCTTTGCTTGAATGTGAAATCCTCATTCTTTCTAGGTCCTGCTTCCAAACACTCTTCCTCAGAGGACTTTGGCCTTTTGGTGTCCACACTACAGTAACTAGCAGTTTTGAGAAGGGCCTTTCCACCAGCATCATGATTCAGAGAGCAGAGCACACCATTCCCTAGCCTCATCCAGGTGACGACAAAGGAAAAAAATGAACCTGTGGGCCATAGGAAGAGAGATACTTTCTTGGGAGGTGGTAAGGAAATGAAAGCACCATAAAAGGAGGAAACTCATATAGGCCAAATGCATTGACAAACACATGACCTCGGGAGGTGCAAGTGTGGCCAGAATCCGTTAGTCTGCATGAGTATGTGTCAGATGGACAAAAACCAAGCACAACTTTGTCTAAAAGAGCTGGGAGCTACTAGGCCAGAAGAGATTTTGTTTTCTGTGAACTATTTATGCCTGTCCTTTGGCAGCAGTATTATAATTCATCCCGGCACTTGTGTTGCTGTGCTTGGCTATAGCGCAGCCAATGTCCCTGAAGGTAACTGAAAGACTCCCGATCATTCTGCAGCTGAAGTGAGCTATCTGACATTTTAACAGCATTATCACATCCAAACCTGTTCACACCTATCTTTTAAAACTTCTTATTCACTCACTGTGGGGTGGGAGCATGTGACAGATGACTGTCCCTCTCACTGGTCGTAGTCCCCTTATCTGCATGCTTGAACATGCAACTGAACTACACTGAATCGGGATTTCTCAGAAGTACATCACCTGCTATGGCTGTGACATGCTCAGGGCTAGCCTGTGGCTTCCTGCCCTGTTTTATCACAGATGCTTTGGCCTTAGCTTTCCTTAGTCCGAAACTAATAGAGCAGATGGTCTCCAAGTCTCTTGACTCCTGATGATGTCCATTATGTCTCCTGACATAACAGGCTAGCTGTCCATAAACACACTTGGCCTGGGTTAGAGAAGACTGCAGTAAAAGGCCCGGACAACCTGGCAGGGTTGGCCAAAGCAGTTGGTTTAAGCAAGAAACACCAGGAAAAACACAGCGCTTCCAAATCTCCCCAGTGTGGCAGGTTCTAGAGACTGATGTGAAAATCATCAGGAAGCTCTCTGGTGATTTAAACAGCTAAAGAGGTTCTTTATGAAGCATTTAAGAAAAACTGGAAAATTGCTTGGAGTAATTCAGTTACTTTCACTCTAAGCAAAAAAGCAGATGCAAAACAAAGAACCACTGCAAGGTGCAGGATTTTAAGGCTGGGGGACTTGCCAATTGCAGGAGCAGTGTTCAAATTACACAGCCTTAAATGGGAGTGAAGCATTTGAAGGATGGATGTACTTTAAATAAGCCACATCCCTTGTGCAGGACTGTAAAAGGTTCTTAGAAAAAAGTTAATCTTCAGAACAACTTGGAGAGAGGGGGAAGATAAGGTACAAGTGAAAATTCCCTCCTCAACCAATTTCAACCTAGTTCTAAAGACACGTTAGAGACTGTATCACTGGAAAAATCAAGCCTCCTTCCAGACACCCCAAGGAGGCCACAAGAGCCTGTGGACATGGGCCTGGTTTGGTTTAATGGTGACAATTATTGGACAGGCCCTTTCCCATTCCAGATAAGGAACAATCAAACACAAAGAACTTACATCTGTAAAGGTGGCTCCAGACTGGAAGGAAGGCCATGTACAGTGCAATGTCTCCCACAGTGGGATAGGACTTGAAGATAGAAATGATTGCAATCTGGATAAACATGAAGAACACAGGGTGTTCCCTAGAAAGGGTAAGACACAAAGGATAAGAGGATGCAGTAGGGTCTCTGGAAACTGGAAATAAGTATCAGCAAGGGCACAAATGTACTGTGGGATAGGCTCAAAGAGGCTCTCTGTTCTCTCCAAACAAGCCTCTGAGTGCTGGGCGGGGTAGACTGAGCTGCTCTGCAGAGAAGCAGTATAAGGGGATGCACATCTGCTTGCTGCCCTCACACAGAAACTTTATGTCTCAACTCAACATACATTTATACAGTTGGTCATCTGGGCTGCTCTTCCCCAGCTCTGTCTTATTCACCGAAAAGCAAGCAGCACCTCCTGTCTGAAGGTTATTTGGAGAAGCCCATAGTTATCCCTCTGGTATGTCATGATGTCTGTATCCATTCCAAGCCAACAGGATAAGCTCACTGAGAATCCAGGCGTGTTAACGGGTGTTTTTATCAGAAAGAAGGGTAATGTTGTTAGCGCAGTCTGCTAGGAAAGTTTTCACTTTTTTCCTGACAGTAACTAACTTGAAGCTGCAGCCAAGAGTTCTTGCTTTCTGACTACACTGGCTTATGCTGGCAGGGAGCAGGCACCTCTATAGCCTAAGTTTCTGCTCTCTCTTTTGATGCCTGTAACACGTCTGTTGCATAGCAGAGCCCAACTCACTCTATTTAAGAGGAATAAAGATTGAAACTTTGGGAAATGAAGAGGATAGGCCCTGTTAAAAGACTATTTTTTTCAGGCTTGTAGATCCAGACATCTGACGCCAGCCTTATAAGCTTCCACCGGAAAAATGAGAGTAAAAAAACTAGCAGAGAAACATACTTACTTTAGCTTTATTGCCAAGGGAATGGTGTAGAAGAACACATTGATTTGAAACACACATACGAAGAAAAGACTAAAGTGTTCAAACATCTCTGCAAAGAAGTACCAGAAAAGGCCAATATTGGGTGTCAGATCTGGAACAGAGAGGCTGAAATTTGAAAAGAAAAGTCAAGGTAGTATTTTTAAATGGTTGTTTTTCACTGCCCTGCTTCTGTTACATTAATTAATCATTGTGTGCTACTGGATGGAGGACCTATATTTTAAACCCGTGGAAGAGAAACCAAAGGGGTGAAAACCCGGAGAGAAAAAGGACTAATCCTTCCCTATCCCCAGCAGGATTTAAACCGTTCCCAAGCAGACATTTCTCCAGAGATGAAAATTTCACAGCCACGGTAGCTCAACGATCAAATCCATTTCCAATCAACTCAGTGGAAAACATCTCCTGTCTTCTCTAATTCTTGCTGTTACTTAATTAACAGAAGTTGGCTAATGCCTGCTCTTCTCCACACGCTCTTTCTTTTCTTGCATTGCCAATAAAATCACAGATCACACACTCCTTAGGACAGGGAGTGGGGCACCTGTGTGTGATGCACAAGAAACAACATGGGGGGGGGCTAGACAGAAAAAACAGTAAGAGTCCTTATACTTACATAAACCCGTAAACAGATGGGATAAAATCCCAGGAGTTGAGGAGGAAGAAGGAGAGGCAGATGATCACCACTAGGCTGCACAGGTACAGGGCTGCATACTGCATGGTGTAGAGCCAGAAGCTTTTACTTTTCAGTTTTATTGGTATGAACTGACGCTGAAAATGAAATACAAGCAGCAGATATCCCTCATCAGGTGGAAAGCCACAAGAAAGCCCGAGCGTTCAGAACGTAATTTTAAATCGATGAAAGAAAGCATCAAACACTGGCACTATGGCACTGGAAGGAGCAGCTCTCAAGCACAATTTGCTTGATGTTCTTCACTCTGGCCAGTTAAGTCATATTGCACATATTTCCAGAACTGTGCTTGAAAATACAGTAGCTAAGCTGGTCATTTCTGCTTGCAGCGAGTCAAGTCTCATGCACTCAATATAAGATTTACACACACCTCCTCACAGCTATACTTGTATCTTAGATGTTTGCAATACTGTACTGCTGCCTGCCTTCTACTGCATGAACCCATATCAACTGGGTGACGGACAGCCCTGCTCCATGACCCACCACCCTGTGATGCCAGGTCTCCACCACATGGACTGGCACTCATGCTCTGCTGAAAGCAGAGAAAGAGGACATCCAGTGGGTTCCTAAGCACAAAGGAGCCCCTCTAAAAGATTGCCTCCTCAGACAAAGACAACTGCTGCAGTCCTGCCACTGCCACATGTCCTGATAAGTCAACCACAAGCCCTTGTCACATAACGTGACATATGGGTATCTCACTCCAAGAGGTCCCCTGACTGCATTTGTAAAGACAAATATACACACAGGGGCAAACACCTTTGGGAATCGCTCAGAGTTCTGCAGCTCCAAGTCAGTGATGCAGCTTTGCCATTTGGTACTAGGGTTTACACTGGCAGGAGATGTACAGAGAGCCAGCTCTAACTGATGTGGGCTCTGTGTAAAGCATGTTCTGTTTTCTCAGTCATAGTGTGTTTAATGCCACTTGCTGGAACAATGTAAGCAAGTTTACCAAGGATTTTTGGCAGGACAGATTGGAAAGTGCTGGAGAAAAGCTATTTAATTCTGTACAAAGAATGCAGGAAAGTTCATTTACAAATCTGGATAAAAGAACACACACTAGCATGATCCCCTTTAAAAGCTGCAAATTAGGCATTCACATATCAAAGCACTTGTTGTTGCTTGTGAACACAACGCTTGTACTTTTCTGCTGCTTTACTTTGACTAAAGTTAAAAGAGAACAAATGAGACCAAAATATAAAATATATAAAGTAAACACTCCTAAAAATTATCAAACTGAAAAAGCAACACTGACTCTGCAGAAGTTCTTGTCTTGCAAAGAGTAATAACAATAAAATTTCTGAAAAAAAATGAGACATTCATGTCAGATGATAGTCAGGGAAAAAAATGGACTAGAACTGACTCGCCATTCTCTTTTGAAGCTCATAGATTTGAGAATAGGCTGTAATAAACCTGTAGTTAAGATTAGTTATAAAAATCATGAGGGAGACAGAACAGAAGCAACGAAGAAACACTGGCAAAACACTCAACAGCAGGACTTTCAGAATGGCAAAAATAATAAAAATGATCACCAAGTGATCTGTGAATTGGGGTAAAAGTCCTTTGCTAGTGGTCACAGCCTCACCTTGCTCCCGTATCAGAATAAGACTATCAAATGATCAGTTTTCATTAAGTGCATTATAATTTGGATTCTTGGTTAAGTCACTGTTTATAGTATCAGCACAAGAGCTAAGAGAGACCAGCGGGAAGCATGCAGGCAAACCGGTGATGAATCCACTCACTAGCAAAGAGCTGCCTCAGCTTTAAACCCTACCCCTGCCTGCAGATGTGCCTACCAGCCTACTGCTGCGCTAGTTTTGTCTGGAGCAGTGTCTGTCAGTTGAGGCACTGTGTACCCATGAATGACCAAGGTCAGCCCTGCTGGAATTCAGGGGTCCTGTTAATGGGGAGGGAGAAAGGACAAGGGCAACCAGCCGCTTTCACAAGCACATGCCTTTTGCCATTAAACTCCAAATCAGCATTTCAGAGTTTGAGTGATTCAAACATACAGCTCCTCATTCCTCCTCTCCAGGTCTAAAATCCTCATTGTTATTCACACGACACAAAGAATAGCACTTATTTCGGGCAAGCTAAACACCAGCCAGTTCTGTAGATGACTTTCTGCTCCCTTCTCTCTATGCACAGGCATCCCCATTAAGGCTTCAAACTTCCCGTGGTTTGACGAGAGTCACTTTTTCTGCAACTCAGGACTTGCCCGACTTCCCTCTCAATAGCTAAGGACTGTCTCTGCACAGCTACAAGAAGACAACAGGTACCAACAGTTAGAAATCATCTACCTGTAGAAGGTAAAGCAGTGCTGGAGCAAATAATGTGAGAGGGTAGAGTGACTGGTATGTTGCTAAGGCCAGGAACACAGCACTGAGGAAGGCACTACCTGCAAAGAAAAAAAAAATGTTCATTTGTAAGGAACATTTAATATAAACAGCCTTCCAGACAGGAAGTCCAAATGGGAAGAAATGCATAACCCTCTGCAGGGGCTTTACAAATATCAGAACACCGCTTAAAGGCGTTTTTAGCAGAGTGTGTCCTGGACAGTGTCCTTTTCTTAACTACATTTTGAACGGAGAATGACTCATACCAAGGTGATTCTCCCACAAGAAAGAACCGCTGAGTGGTTTATATCTCCTATCATTCACATACAGAGATTCATGTAATTCAGTCTATATATAGACCATGCTGTCTGCTGTTTATGCATGGGAATACACTCACTTAAGTCATATCTGCCATGAAACAGCTGTTATACTCATACTGGGCATGTTGGATAACCTCGTCACCAGAATGCGTCAGGGCCCTCAGCAAAGCTCTGTGAAAGAGAGCAAGCGAAAGTCTGCAGCTGACGGAATGAAGTGGCATTAGCCCTACTTTACAGATACCAAAACTGAGGCGTAAAAAGGATTAGCACAGCTTTTCCAAGTGGTCTTAAAAATATGAATGCTGTTATTGAGGAAGCTTTATTTGAGGTGTCTCAGGTTGAGCTAAGTGCTGAGTACTCACATTGCCCAACTACCAAAACCAGAAATCAAGTGCAAAAGATCCCAGGTTAAACAATAAAAATACAAGCACCCAGTGCAGTAGCCTGGTTATAACTTCCAGTCTTATGTCATTCGATGGAAGTCATCTGTAAAAATACAGCTTAGACAGCAAGAATTCTAGTGCATTGGACTAATTGTCAGCCTACTGACATCAAACACTCAGTAAGCTTCTCTCTGCTTCCACCTTTTGAAAGAGAAAATATAGGGTTACCTGGTGATGAGCCTTCTCCATTCTTCAACTACACTCTCCTAGACAGAAACCTCCCTATCCTCTATTTTATCGAGTGTTCAATTCTGCACAGATCTAAAGAATTGGTACCCAGAAATCATAGTCATAATCTGATATCCTCTCTTTGCCCACTTTAAAACCTAGAGGCTGCCACACTCCCACTCAGAGAGAAAACACAGGCGGCAGCCACTACAGTTTTGTCTATGACTGAGCTATTTGTCTTATGCTATCAGTGAACAGTTAAAAATCAGTTTAAGTAAACGGACCCCACTCGTTTGCTTTTGCAAATGCTTTTAAACCAAAACCCCTCCTGCCTCAATTAGTCAATAATTGGAGGAAAACTTTCTTTTGGAAACACTAATAAAAACAATCTATATCAGCTTTCTTCGCAACGTCTGGGTCTGGGCACTGCTGGAGACAAAAGATCAGACTGAGCTTTCCTCTGATCCAGCACAGAACTCCTAAAACTTATGTGACTAGTACAAATCACATACGCTAAAAGACTTCAGCACTGGGGAGTCATAAATGAAACAGAAACCTGGCATTATGCACAAAATGAATGAAACAGCTATTCTGTCATAATCTGTTCAGCTGTGTCGGTATGGTCTTTGGTTACTGTTTCTGCTTCCCCAAAGCTCAATTAGCTAATTTCAAACCAAGGTTACAACTGTGAGTGAAAGCCAAATAATAGCTGCAGGCAACTGCTTGCTTTTGAATAAAAGTTCAAAGATACACTTTGAAAATAAATTGTATACAACACTTTAAGTGTATATTCACGTACAAAAGAAAGAGCAGCAGAGCATTATGTCCTCCTACACACAGACAGGCATTTCTTCATAAACAGAAAATTATTCAAAGTCATCCAGGAAAAGGAGTCAGTTCTTAAACTCCTAGGTACACTGAGATGAAAGCAAGTTTTGACTTGACTATAAAGTCTCTTGATCTCTTGTGATTTCAGGTCAAACTTTGACCTTGCTCCAGTCCCCGTTTCTGATGTGTTTCACTGAGATCTTTGTAGCAATCATATTTGTAAAGTTCCACCTTGATTTAATTTCTGCTAATTTTCTGATCTTTATAGAAAGACATAATGAACCATTTTTTCTTCATTATGTTACCTTTTATTGTAGCTAAAATGAAGAATGCAATGACAGTATTGTTGATGGCACAGGTGGACTTTGCCACACAAGACATCACAGTGTAGGGGTTTAACAGGTAGCTGAAAAAGAGCAAAGGTCGAGTTACATTCATGCCATTCAAAGGATATACCATCTAATTAAAGAGACGTTCAAAGGAAAAACAGATGCAGTTTGCCATTTCTTTTTGTTTATTTACATTTGATGGGATCCTTTCCTCATCAAATTAACTCAGCTGAACAGGTTCTTTAGTCTGGAGCAAAAAACAGATTCTTGGATTGTAGCCTTGGACACAGTGGCCACAGGGAGCACACTGGAGAAAAGGAGACGGTTGGGAAGATGGCTAAAATGCAAGTTCTATCCTAGAAAATGACTACCAAAAATGTTCCTTGTTTTGCAGAAACATTGTGCATTTATCCAGTCAGACCTAGGAATACTGGGTCCAAAGTAAACTCTTTCTGTTACTCATATCTACTGACTCTGAGAAAGTAATAAAAATAAGAAGATAGCAAGATGGAAACAAATCCCCAGGCACGAGCAGTTTCCCCAAACCCAATGGCACCTGCACACTCCTGCTACGGCAGAGCAATCATTTCTGTTCACCATGACATGATCTGAGCACAAAACCTGCCAGCTATGAAAACCTGGCATATTTTAACTGGAATTATGGAAAGACAGCAAACTCTGAACACTTCTACCTTCCAGAATGCAGCCACACTTTAGTTAGTAAGGATGCCAGCTGCTTTTGGAAATGAGAATTACAATAACCTCAAAAGCACAGAAGAATGTTTGGAAGGATTACCAATACAATAAGCAAGATAATGTATCAATCAGCCTTGCTAGTAACTAAATCAATCATCAGAGTGAATAGACAGGGCTGATGATTTCCTAATTATCTCTTTACATAAACATTTTTCCCACTTCTCTGAGTCCCAGGCTTTTTCTGTGTTTCCAGAGAGACAGCGTACAGCAGAATAGGTACAACTTAATGCCAACTTTGCTGCGGTAACGTGCAACAATGTTAAATACAAAACAGTCTGCAATTTACAGACTCTCTCGCCCTGGGGAATTTACCATTTTACAAAATTCATATGAAAATAAGAAAAAATAACAACTTATCTAATGGAAAACTCTCTCTGACACAGAATAATTCAGATGATAATTTATTCACATCAAAACCCCAATTAAAAGAATAATTCTTTGACATTAAGTACCTTGCTTGTATATTATTTATTTTAGTTGAAGTTTTCTGAAATAAAAAGTATTTAGGATACAGAGGAACAACAAGACATGACACTATTAAGATGACAACCTGAAAATATTTTTGAATTATTATAAGCAATTCTGGGATATTCAAGTTGTGATATTCAGCAAACGTTTTGTTTGACTGCTCAAAAATTGTCCTAACTTTTCTGAAAAGACACCCGAGACATTTGGGAGGCATAAAATCAGTTTTGATGACATTAGCATACAGGCAGAATAAATGGGCATGTGATCTGTGCAGACACAACATTCTTGCTACCAAATTAATGACCTTATGCTGTTGAGCCTCTTAGAGGGCCTGAGTGAATTTACTTGTTGGCAACAAACATTTGGAAAAGCATCTGCTTTTCACTTTCAAACCGAGTATTCAGAGCTGAGGGGATTTTTATGTATAATAGGAAATTCAGAATTCTTGGGGAAAAAAAAAAATTCTTCAACAAATGCTGAAGCCCCAAATCAGACAAATAAAACCCAAAGGGAGCTGAGGAACCAAAGCAGCCTACAAGAAGCAATACTTACAATAGTGCTACCTTGAGGGGGATGTAGTGCATTTCCATGGGCGTCCGGATGAGTTCAGCCACATCTGGTGCATATTTATCCAGTTCTATTAGGAGCTTTTGCTTTTTGAACTGAACAAGAGAGAATGACCGAAGACTGTCAGATGAGGAAAGTCATTATTTCTTATCACTCAGGATTTCCATTACTGTGGAACAGTATATATGAGCCCCAGGCGTGAGCCAAAACTCATGTTATGTGAGGTGTTGTACAAACAGAACAAAAACCCCCTCTCTTTTCCCAAATACATAACAACTGAAGTGGAAGTCATGAGAAAGCAGATAATCTCTACTTATTTGAACTTCCTTAATTACCTGTGTCTAACTCTTGACACAGCTGACTGAATTCACCACGCTAGAGTTTAACACTTTCAATCTTCCTAAAGCTTGTCTGGATCTCCAATGACTTTATAAATTCACTGTTCAACATACAAGCCCCTAAGAAACCAAGTCACAGAAGCATGCGGTCTTTGCTACTCTGAAGATGGATACCTCTATGCCAAATCTCCTTTAGGAACCCAAGATCTCTCTCTTTAATCTATCTTGTTCTATGATGCTCTCTATGGAGACAAAAGAGAAATCTGAATTATGAACCTACTGAACTATATCACGGTGAGACAGAAGGAGAGAGATGCTGGCAATAAATTCTCAATGAGCAAAGTAGCTCACACACAGGATTTTTACACGGCTGTCATTCTATCATGAGTTATTTCTCCAACCTCAGAGGACAAGGAACAAGTATGTAGCTGGACGGGAGACCACAGAGATGCTGTAGAAAATGCAGCCTCCCTGTTCATGTTGATGCTGAATCACTGCCCCTCTAGGATCGCAGACCGCACAGCATTACACAGCTTATACAAAATGTTCTCTGAGCTACTTATGAGAGAGCTCACCTCAAAATACATGTACCTATAATCTGAAAGGAACAAGTAATATTTGGTGTCAGACTTTCACCTTGCTCAGTAGAATGATTTATGTCACCTCAGCATCCTTGGAAGGTTTATTCCTTCCTTTACACATTTCCAGTCTGTGTATTAATTCATGCTGTGTGCAAATACAAACCATATTCAGGGTAAAACATTCCAGGCTCTAGCTACAAAATTTACAGAAGATTGTAGCAGGAGCAGAGGTGAGAAAAGAAGTGCTCAAGTCTTGCCAGAAGTCTTGCCAAATCCATAGTCCAGTAATTAAATTCTGCATACTGCAAACTGCCACAACAACTGAAGGTGGGTTTTCAGTACACGTTCTAAAATCTCACATCCCATCTTGTGTACCATGACCCTAGACTTGTCCGCATTTCATTGGCTATTGCATTCTCACAAACTTCTCAAATTCTTTACACTCCTTTTCGATTAAAGAATCTACACTGCTGTGATCATCATTCAAGGGCAGTGTGGTAGCTACGGACACTAATTTGTTTCATACCGCAATACTGCCACAACAAAACTTAAAATACCTCCGCTGTTTACCACATTCAGTCCCCATGTTTACTGATCATCCAGATATGATCAGATTTACTGCAACGAGGACTGGTTGATACTGCATCATCTGGCATGTGTTTTCTTTGGTACAAGATATTTATACTTGCTGGGAGAAGAGGATCAGCAACACTGGCAAGTCAGCTTACCACAACTTTGTTGAAGTCCTGAATGGCCAAGTAAAGGGCAACAGCAGTTAGCACATCAGTTATCTAAAAAAGCAAGGCATAGACAGACTGACTGTAAGCAAAATAAACAAATGGAGAAAAAGATATTGGACAGTAATACAATAAGGACTCTGATCTGACTCAGCTCACGAGAAGAAAAAACAAGCTTTAAAAACACTAGACTGCTGATTTGTACACTGTGCTCACACACCACCGCTTAACCTTGAAGCCATGAGCTGTATCAAAGATATTAATATTTACAAAACAAGAGAGTGGGGACTTAAGGTGAAAGAAGTATGTGAGGGTAATAGAATCACTGATCTAATTAGAGCACAGGCAACACTGGGGCAGTGCCCAGCTGGCTAAACCCACCTGTCCATTAATCGAGCACGACAGTGCCTTGAGCTGTCCCAAACTTACCAGGCAGCCGTACAGTCATCTGAACAATCAGCACAAGCACAACGCAGATGGCTGTTAGCTCTGCATGAGACCTGCCCAGCAGGGATCCGGGGAGAGAGGCTCCACCAGGTGGCATGTGCAGCCAGCTATATGATTTCTGTCCTTCTGAATTACGCAGACTCGGAGAATAGTTTACAGGAGACATTTGGAGGACTAACCCATTTGTGCCCTCTTTGCAGGCCTGGGGTTTGGCAGTGGGTTTTAGTGAGAAACACTGCAGTGTAGGGATAAGACTGGGGGGACAAAATATTCTGACCTTTAAGAGGTAACTTTTGAAACTTGAAACAAAATGCCAACTTCCTGTCCCTCTGCGTGGATACTTATCTAACCAAGAACTCACAAAAAAGAAGGAACATGTACAACAAGGGAAAAGCCCGAACATGGATTTGTACAGGCAAAGCTGCCTTTCTAATTAAACTGTGAGCTCAGCAGGAATCTGAACTACAGGGAGGCTGAAGGTCCCCGATTCTTGCAGGACTAAAAGGAAAGTCATACTCAGCATTTCACAGAATGAGACCTTTCAAGAGGAGCTTTCCAGGAGCACTTACCATGAACACCAATTCAGCATATTCAATCAGGAAGTGGAAGAGATATATTATCAACGGGGTCTAAAAGAGAGCAGAAGGGAAGCCCATGTCAAATACTGTCCAGACAGAACAACTGGTGATTTGATGAGGAAAATGGAGCAGTACTATGAGAGACTGCGAAAGGCAATTTTCCTTAGCCTCTTCTACAACGCTGTTACTTCAGAGTAAAGTGATGAAACAAAGCACACTTACTGGTCTTTTTCCTTGCAAAGTTCTCAATGCACTTTATAAAAGACACCGTCAACTTTGAAAAGTATATTCTATTCCAACTTTTCAATTCTACCAGTATAGTGGTAGAGTTACAATAGAAAGCATATGAAGAACAGCTTTAGAAAATAATTTTTTCTAGAGAATCTATTTTTTCAGGTTGTTTGCAGGTACTTTTGAAAGTATTTCCTGCATAGCTGGTTTCATTCTTTAGCCTGTTGTTTAGATGAGTCTTTTATAAAGCAAAAAGAAGAAAGCATGTTAAAAACATAAAGCAGTAGGACTACGGTCCTATCATTCTTTTACTCCAACAGCTTTTCCCTTCTAGGGTAAGAGGAAGAGCATGTTTCTGAATTATTCCTTTGACGGAAAAACGTAATCTGGAAGTACTGTATTTACATGGTGTAAATTCAGTCTTCGCTGTGAGGAAATATATTTCTTTTGAAATACTTTTGAAATAATGTGATGGCATAAATAAGCATGGGAAAATATTTTCCAGTCTGGAAGAAAACTGTGTTTAAAGAAGGAGAATTTATTGAAGAGAAACAAGTTTTCAGAGGTATGCAAAGCATCTGCCTCACCCCTAGGTGACACTATGTATGAGTGTACCTTCATATCAGTAAGACCACTCAAGGGCACAAAAACTCCACAGGTGCTTAAGTGTTTGGAGGAACGAGGCGTTTTCAAGATGCATGCTTGTGCTGATGTTAATATTTCTGCAAATGCAGAAACTCAAGATGCTGCTATCCAGTAAAACTGTGTTCAGACTCACAATGACACTATCTCTCCCTGCTCCGGCCTCTGCTGAAAGGAACATCTGGATGTGAACAGAATGTTTTACTTATTACAGATTTCCCCTATTTCAGACTCTCCTTATGCAGTAATAAATATTATGATGTCTATCATCTGCACAGCAACGAGTTATTCCATGATGAACTGCATTTCCTCATTGTGCTAGTCACTACGTATACAACTATTGCACAGACAACTACATGACTCCAAGTTCTCTGAAGTCTTTGAGACAAGACAGGTCCCCAGCCTTTGCCAGTCCGTGAGCAGTAAGACTAAGAAATGTGCCACTTGAATATCACGTTTAAAATGAAGCGTGCATACTGACCTCATGAAAAATAGCTCCAGAATATGGCGAGACCCCTAAATCCAGCAGAGCTAACCCTTCGACCACTGAAACATACAAAACGCCTGCATTAGAATCCTGTAACGTGGGAAGAGAAAAATCTCATGACGGTAAAACTATAGTTTTTAACACACCCATGGTCATAAGAATCTCACATTGAATCGCTATCTGAATGGGTGACACAAAATTTCACAAAGCCAACAACCAGCTAGAATTGATTGTTTTTCTTCTGCCATGCAAATTTCTTTTGTAACTGAATGGTCAGTTGTAATCTATTTATTTGTTTCAGCTAAAAATGTAATAACTGAAATGTTTTGCACTTAACTACATATAAATCAGATATATGATATTTACTGATTTTAAGTCACCTATTATGTGACGCATGGTATCTACGCTGGAGAAATACATAATTCTAAGAGGGCAAATCACGACATAATATACAATTTGAACTATTTTGCCTAATTAGATGTAGAGAGACCTGAAACGTCCAAAACCACAGTAAAAGAGCAGAAATGAATGCATATTACCAGGCAAAGCTAAAAGCTTTATCCGTTGTTGGAACTTCCTGACATTTCGCAGCCTTAATTCAGATCCTTTGGAATCATGTAATTACAGCTTGCACTGCAATGCATGCACACGTTTTTCCATAGGATCTCCACCTTACTGAGCACAAAGGTTCCCTGGGGATTGAGCAGCGTATGCAGTGAAAGAAGCTACGGGAAATAGGTCCATCTGTTCAGAGGGAAATGAGGCAGGAGACTGCAGGAAGCAACAAGAGGTTCTCAGTTCAGCGACATGCTGGAGAAGTAGATTCTGTCTCTGCTACAAAGTTCCCCTATGATGACAGCCTGGACTTTTCAAGGTGATCCTAACTGTGCTCCTTACTCTCTAGACGCCTACCTTGGTGCCCTAAGGTAAGATTTAGAAAGTATCCATTGCTGCAAGGGAATTTTTGGGAGCTGTATTTTGAAACTATGAAGTACGAAGTGCTACACACTGGAGCAGAGGCTTTAGATCAATCAGATGCATTCATGCTTTTGACCTTTATCACTCTGTGCCACTGTTTTCCACCCCAAAACTGCAAATAATTTTACCTGCATAATAACTGGATATTGTTTTCCCAAAGGGCTGTCTTTAAAATAAATTAAGGTTCCTAACGGGCTCAGATGCTACAGAGATGAATGCCACCAAAAAGCCTTGATTAAACTGTACCTCAGTCTTCAGAAGAGAATTTGATTCGTTGGTAACGTGTGGGGCCACAAACTGAGCAAGGAAAATGAAACGGTGAATAGCTGTGCATGAACTGGGAACCATGCAGTCATGTTCACACCACGAGACGGTGCTTGTGCAGTTAATGTGTAATGAAAGCGACTCAATCAAGGTTGCTGAAACTACATATTCAGTGCCAGATTTTGTCACTCTCCCATTTTACATACATCTGTGACACAATCAGTTTGTACAAGCGCAACCAAGCCAGCTGCACACAATGGCTAAACCCCCATCCTCCTGCCTTCGGTCTCGTGTCCCTCCCGCCCCCTTGCAGCTGCCGAACACTCGCTCTTCCTTCGGGGACAACTGCCACGGACCATTTCATGCAGCTTTCGGTCGGGCCCGGGAGAGGAGGGGCCCGTCCCCAGCCCCGGGACTGCAGCCCGGCCCTCTCCCCGCGGGG